AGAGAGAGAGAGAGAGAGAGAGAGAGAGAGAGAGAGAGAGAGAGAGAGAGAGAGAGAGAGAGAGAGAGAGAGAGAGAGAGAGAGAGAGGAGGAGCCTGAGGAGTGCTTCTACCCACCTGAAACCTGTATGGCTCGCCTGAGCGCAAAGCAATAGTCATCAAAGCCTGGGTAGCAACGATCCTGACCTGTAAGAAACGGCCAATACTTAAATTTAGAACCAAGTCACGGAAAAGAAAAGACCAAAGTCACGCAACAATGATAGCACACATATTGATGACAATCCTGACATGTAACAAAACCATCATTGCTGTCTGAACATTCGGACGGGCATCCAGACACAGCAGAGCTGGATATCAAGTCTGGTTTCCAAGCTCGGTAGCTCGGAGTATAATATTCCAAGATTGGGCCCTGCCCAAAGAAATTTGGAGAGCCAGACGTCCAGGGAGTACGAGTACGTACGGAGTATAATATTCCACCCTTGTTTCCATCCGGACACGTGGAGACCCGCCCACTCAACTAGACAGCCAGGCGTTGGCTGTCTGGATGATCGAGATATTGTTGAAATATCCCCACAGTCCAGATACATCAGGCCCAATAACCACAATCCAGTCCAGATGCATCTGGCATGAACAAATCACCAATAGTTAAATCTAAGATTCTGCAAGCTAAATCACCAACAGTTAAATCACCAAAATATATGCTTTGCACATATATCAATATCAATGTGTAAAGCTAGCTCTCCTCACAGAAATGCCATCAAGCAGTTTCTACAAGCTAAGAAACACCGTCTCCAGTCACACATATGAGCAAGCAAAATTGGCTCAACATACTCCCAAGCTTCCTGAAATGCCTGCGAGAGTGCGATTTCAATTGAAGCAATAGATGACCTATGAGCTCAATATAAACCCAAGCGTTTGGAAATGGTACTAATGCCTGAGACTGTGTGATTTCAATTGAAGCACTAGATGACCTGCTGCACCTTCGCTTGCAAGAAATCAGGAGGGAATGCCAAAGAAAGTCCCCCCCCCCCCGCCCTTGTTGTTGTTGTAGTTACCTGTTGTTTGACGTGTTCTGCGAAAAGTCATTTAGTGATGAATTAAGGATTCCATGGATTGTTTCATTTGAGAGCGTGAAGGAGGACAAAGTTTACGATCATCCGCTTTGATCATGCCACTAGGCATTTGATTCAAGCATTGGACAATGATWCGAAGACTTTGTCGCATTTCTTCAATGCGGACACAATAACGATCATAACAATCTCCTCGTGTACCTACGGGTACATCAAATTCCACTTTGTCATAAACATCGTAGGGTGCTGCTCATCCTTTTTTTCTTTCTATGAGCTGTGGAAGAAGTCTTCCTGTAATTGCAAGCATGCATGCAATCGCCCACACAGCATTAACACGCTAACACTATACTGGCGAAAGTGTAAGGGATTTGGATTCTGGAATGATATAAGGGCGTAGGTGACCTCCTATATTGCACTGCAGTACTACCATGTATTTGGCTTTGTAGAGACCGGGATCAGAGGCTATCATGATACTTCAGCTAAGCTAAGATGCAACTCACCGAAAAGAGTCAACGCAGCCTCCAAAACAAAACAACCAGCTCATGTTATATATGTATGCGCTGGGCAAAATCGAAATGGTCTTGGAATGATCAAAGGGAGTAGGTGACCTCCAGCATCTCTCTCTCTCTCTCTCTCTCTCTCTCTCTCTCTCTCTACACACACACAAGACGGGAAGCAGAGTCGGGTACCCTGTGGCGGAAGGGGAGTGGGCTCTCCGCCCTGCTACAGAAGAAGGGCAGTGGATAAGGGCAACCTGTGGTGAAAGGGGAGCGGGCGGACGAAGGGACACATGGCGGTGAAAGGAGGAAGCGCAGACGGTTGTGGACGAACAGCACGCGGGTGGTGGTCGAAGAAGGGTGCTCGGCTGGCGGAAGAAGGGCGCGCATCAGCGGCAGACAACAGGCGGGCGAGCATCCGTGGGAGAGTAACAGCGCAAGAAAGACACACGGGTGGTGCTGGGGGTCGCAGAGTAGTGGCAGGGGGTGGCCGGCATCTCTCTTTCTCTCTCTGTGTGGCAACAGAAGGGCGCAGAGTAGTGGAAGGAGGGCACACCGGGGCAGGGAGACATGCGTCCAGAGATGGGGAGCCGGCACCAATTCACGGATGCAAGTCGCAGAAGCACAAAG